TGATCATCTTTTGGACTTTGGTTCCTAATTTTATTTCATGTGTCTATCTTATTTCTTTTGGATTTATATTAAGTAAAATTGTAAGTGATTCTACTTTAAATTGAGATTTGTATGACTTTTAAAACTGTAAATCTAAATTATTAGTAATAATTAGGTTTAACACTTATCTTATATTCCACTTACAATTTTATATACTTTTTATTCTATGCAAGATTCTAGACATCACAATAATCAAACCACCGTACCTAAATACACCCACTTTCTATTTTCACTTTATTTGTTGTTTGGTACTTCAACTTTCTTCTTTTGTCAAAGCACTTAGTGGGATATGACAATGGATTGATGATCTATTGGAACTAAGAAAAATGTGAAAGTGAGCTTGTGATATATCATAAACCCATTTGAGTTGCCTTTTGTAAGATAAAGTAAAACAAAAATGAAAGGAAAACTTTCCTTCTAATCTGTTTGGTAATATAGAGAAACGGAATGGCAGGGAAGGGAATAAAGAAGGAAAATATTGAGTTTTTATTTTATTATTATAAAAGGGGCATGTGTTTTTCCCCCGTTCTCATTGAATAGTTCTTGATGTAGTATTTGCTTTGTTCACAAAAGAAAATTAGAAAGTACTTGAGGAGGAAGGGGGACCAAAATAATACCCCACCACCCCCACATTAATTTTCCTACGTGATAGTTGAAGAGATAGGAGGACGGTCCCCCTTAAACTTTATGGCATTTATGTGTTTAATTATATTCCAAACCAGCCTAATTATTAGCTTAATGGTTCATTGCTAGAGTCAAACTTTGGGCCAGAATTTGGAAAGAAAAAATTTCCCTCTCTCCCCTTTTGCTCATGTTCAAACACGAATATCCCTCTTGATGAACATTTTTATGATATAAGAGTGTCAAAAGTATTTTTGAGATAATATAGGTATTCAAGTCTTTAATTTGATTAATTTTATAAATATTTGCAAACCACCACGATCATGTAAGACTTCACACTCAAAGGTGATGGACGTGACAACCCATTTGAATTGTTTGCACCAAATAGTGTTAAAAAGATTAAAACCTGCATTTTCAACTTGCATGGTTTAAATAACTCCTAAACTACACTAATAAGTTAAAGGCTGCTACTTTTCTTGATGCTGTAATTGACTAACCTTCATAGTACTCTTAAATTTGATTCTTAAAAAGTAAAGATAAAAGAAGAGTGTCGGCAAAATCTGAGCTGACCTTACTGCATTAGCAAATTTGATTTGAAATAGATTATTGTGGTTTTGAGGCTAAATGTGACAATGAATGAGTGGATATATAACCAACCTATATCAAGCTAGCTTAAGTGGCCAGACGATCAAGGTCACCTGTTCATGGCACTACATACAAAAGGATCAATATACAAGCCCAATGTACTGCATAATACTTTGATCATGCCAATGACAAAACGCTGCTTTCACGAGGCCTATGAATATGTTTCTTCACCTATTAAAGGTAATCCATGTAA